TTTACAATCAGCATGGATGTGTGGCCCGTATAAGAATGAGAAGAAGAAGAAGTTTTCGCTTGGATGAAACTAGAATTTGGGAAAATTTATGATAGAAATGGGAGGTTGGTTAGAGATAGACATTAATAATAATTCAGAGAAAGTGAAAAACTTGAAACAAACGAATTACTTGAATGAGATTCGATTCGAGGGGAAGAAAACCAAGTTTCCCAAAATACAAATTTACAAACCCCTTTTTGTTTCCCTTTAATGGTTATTGGAGGCAATAGTGGTGTCTAGACTGAGCAAAAGCAGCAACATTATTATTCTGCGCCAAACTTGGTTCAAAATCTGAAGAAGAAACCAGCGGATAAACCAAAGAGCTCATTTCCCCCAAACTGGTGCTTTCTACAGAACTACTTCCCACGCTACCACCTCCCATCATATTATTATTATTATTATTCTCCATTCCATAAAAATCCTCCACTAACCCATCTAAATTCTGCAGCGGATCTCCAAATTCACCACCACCATGGAACATTGCTGCTGAAGGATCCTGATGAAAATTGTTCACCCCAAATTGCATATTCTCTGACGAAAACTGAACAAAATTTGAACTTTCGAAGAACAACGGATCCTGGGTCGTCGTCTGTGAAATCTCCACCGGGTTTACCATTTTCATCACCAAATCCCTAAGATCTTGCCCACTCGAATTGGGTACTGCAAAATATGGGGTTTGTTGATTCATCATTGACACTTCAGGAACTGCAACAATATTGAAATTCTTGTCACCATCTGATCTCTTCAAAGTTTCTTGCTTTATGGTATGAAATCGCCGAGCCAGAGCTTGCTGCTCCTTTTGCTGCTTTCCCAGAAGCTTCTTCTTTAGTCTCGTGTTCCAGTAATTTTTTATGTCATTATCGGTTCTCCCCGGTAACTGTGCTGCGATTATAGACCATCTACACAAAACCCAGATCAAAATTCAGCTCAATCTCATCATTAATTACATCTAATAAAAGGTAAATTTAATTAATTAATTTACCTGCTACCGATGCTTATGTAGAGACTGCAAATAATGTTATCTTCTTCCTCTGAAAACCCTCCATGCCTGATGTTGGGGCGGAGATAATTCAGCCATCTAAGGCGGCAGCTTTTCCCACATCGCTTAAGACCTGAGAATTTGACATAGATAATTTGATCGATCAGTGCTTCAAAATTAGAGGTAAAATTTTAGATTTGGGATGAGTAAAGATTTAATTTTTTTCTCTGAATACCTATTTTCTGAGGCAAGGCAATCCAGTTGCCGCCGGTGCCGTATTGCTCGATGTAGGCTTTGAGTTTGGCATCTTCTTCAGGCGACCAAGGACCTTTTTTAACGTTGGCTTTGTCACAACAAGGAGCTCTACCCATGGTTTTGGTTTCCTCTGTGTGCTGTTTTGAGGTTTTTAGATGTTTGGAAATATACCCAGATAACGTTAGGTTTATGTGTATATATATGTGTTTGTTTGGGATGGAGAATATTGGAGAGAGAGAGAAAAAAGAAAAAGAAAGAGAGAGAGAGAGTAGTAGCTGGAGGAGAAGAATGCATGGAAGGGGTCTCACACAGGATTTCAAAAAGGGGTTTGGGAAAAAGATCACAACTTTATGATATATAATATAGTAAAAGAAATTAAAGATTTTTAATCTGCCACAATTGGAGACTTATTAAAAAAGCCTTCTTTTTTTTGTCCTTGACCTTTTCCCCAGAGTCTTATTTTTCAATCATCCAGCCACCCTCTCTCTCTCTCTCTGTATCATTTAATTAAGTTGTGTACTGTTTTACTTTTACAAAACCCATTTGGGAAAATAAAAAGATTAATTAGAAAGAAGGTAAATTAATGAACTGTTCAGGGAGAGGAAGAACGGTTCCAAAGTAACAAAAGTATGAAGAATATTATGATATCATGGTTTGTGTGTCCTGTGGAAGGAATAGCCACTAAAACTAGTAAAGTTTTTTTGAATTGGTCAGGGAAAGTTGTTCGTTCCCTCTCTCTCTCTTTTTTTTTTTTTTTCCTTTTTGCTATGGAAATTTAAAAAGTTTGACATGACGGTGGAGAGCATTTACCTGCAGGAGCATGGCTTTTTTAGTACATAAGAGATTTGGTGTTACTGGGTATGAAGAATCTTATACTTGTTCTGCTTCAATTCCCTCCTCTTGTCCTGATCTCTTCATTTAATTGCTTCAAACTTATTGTGGCAACCAAAACCAATTACTACCCTATGCTCGGTCATAAGTATATATTCATAATTGAATTTTTACCCACTTACCATTTGCAAAAGTTGAAAAAATCAACAGGGTATTTTCAAATATATGCAGTCAAATCAATGAAAAGGGAGTCCAGTTCTCGTTGGTGGGCACCAAAACTGCAAGGCCTGGGTCCGTCGTGAAGAGAGAAAATTAGAACCAGCGACCTGAGGATTCTATAAGAAAATGTAAGCCACAGTTCTAGAAAGAAATAGAACATAAGAAGACATTTGGAGAGGAAAATAATCGTTTTCAGAATAAGGGTGTTGGTATTAATTACTTCGACATCAATTAACTTATTTTCAGTAAAAATACGTTTTAAGCACTTTGGTAAAAGTGTTTAATAAGACACCTCACTTTCATCTTTGATTTTGTACTTTTTGAACTACTTATTTTAGTCAGAGTACATAGATGACTTTTTTCAAAATCACTTTTATATATAACTTTAAAATAGGAAGATTTATAGGAAGAAGTATCTTTGACATGGTCAAAAACATTCACAAAAGTTGCAACGTAACATTTATGCTAATAATATTGTTCACTAGTAGGTAGATATCATGGTTTGAATCCATTCCCTCTAATTTTTTTTAGAATGATGGTTAACTTTCTCATATTAATTTTTATAGATTATGCATACACAAATGTACCTTTCTCTAGGATCTATGTACTTTTTTTTTTCTGCATAATCCAAACATGGGCCATGTTTATTAAAATCTTGAATCAAACATTTTCTCTAATTATAAAGAAATAAACAAATACTGTGTGTTGGTATATTATTAAACAATACTTTTTCTCTATGATTTTTCCTTTGGGTATCTTTGTTACTCATAACACTTCCAAAACTAGACATGTCCTATGGTTACCGATTTATTTATTTCAAGCTAATATATACTTGGGTTTAGTTGAATTTATCCTCTACTCCCCAAGGAATATGCAAAATGTAGAATAAATTGATGAACTAAGTAAAGCATATGACAACTTTTAAAAATGTAAAACTCATTGTATAAACATATTGATGCAATTAATTCTTCAAATTAAAAAAAAAAACGACAACAACTAATGGAATGCCAAATATGACGTCTTATATATGAAAACAAAACAAACTTTAATTGGAAAAAATGAAAAATCTAGAAGGTAAGACAATAATAATGTTTAGAAACAATGACATAAACATGTGTGAAAATATGGGTAATTTTCGTTAAGGTTGGTGACCCAAAGTCGTCAAGAAACAATTCAATTCAAAATTTGGCGTAATTTAATTTGGATATGATAACAATATATAATAATTAATGAAATTGGAAGAGGAAGAGGGGGAGGGAGAATAAAATATGTTAAAAGACAAAGGGAAAAAGTTTGAAATTATGGCAACAATAATGGGAGTGGCACTTTTTGGTTATCTAACAAAAAGAAAGGGAAAAAAAAAAGAATTGAAGGAAGACTTGGTGTGAATTATGAATTATATGAGGAAGATAAATGGATAACAATGAGAGAAAACATAAAAGGAGAAAAGATTATATGGTTTTATGGGCAATACCCAATAGACAAATGGCACATGTCATGTTGTGGGACCCAAAAATGGTGACTAGAAATCTTGACAAAGATGCAGTGCCTTTGTTTTTATGAGAATTGGTAGCAGAAGGGAAAGGAGGCAGCCACTGTCAAATCAATTGCGTCACCCTATTGGACCAACTTTCTTCGTCTCTTCCCCACAATAAAATAATTCTTTATATTAATCTTTCTTTTCTTTATAAATTATAATATCACTAATCGAATCTAATCTCTATTCCCTAATTTCTAACAATGCAGCATTAACTTAATACATAGAGTTGAATCATGTGCATACGCAGCTGACTTGACTCTGCCCAAAAATGGTGGACACCAGCACCTTGGTGGAGATAAATATGTCATCCAAATTGGTCAAAAAGCTTCATTAATATATATAATACAGTAGTTAATCAATTTGTTGATGTCTTAATTTCACCCCCTTCTTTTGATTTTTCACCCAGCTGGGTTCATTTTCTTGTTTATTTAATTATAATTAAAGCACATATTATTGCTTTGTCAACACCAATGGAGGAAATGGAAATGGTCTTCTTGGGTTGGCTTCTCTCTCTCTCTCTCTCTCTCTCTCATATAGAATGGTTGGTTGTGTTTTTGTGATGTGGGATTTGCATATATGCTTTGAAATCTTTGGTTTTTCAGTGTTCATATTCATTTATGGTCTAGATGATATAATTTTTTATTTTTCTACTGTTCTGACTAAGTTATTTGAACTGAAGTGGATCTTATTATATAGATATTAAAGCATGATTAATGTATAGGTAATTCTTGCCTCCATCTAACATCATATATGTTAAAGGACTTATTTGTACATCTCTATATTTCACTTTATCAAGCTTTCATAAATGAATAAAACACCCATACATTTTTTAAACTTTTAGGTATTGATGATAATATAATATTGAAGAAGAACGTCTTCAAAGCATTTGGTTTGGTGTACAAAAATTAGATTTAAGTTCACTCGAGTTAATAAAATTCAGTTATGATTGGTAATTTGGGTATATACGTAAGATATTTTATTATCAATATCATAAATACAAAAACGAGGAAAATAATAAGATGCTTAGAACTCCTGAGTTACACAAATGTTTCTATAACTCTAGTCCTTTTTTAATGCAATAATCAAAAACTACCTAAACCAAGGTTTTTCCAATTTTAAATTTAACAAACTCAACCATCACATGTTAAAAATTCATTTATAAATCTATTATTGTCAGCCAATTTTGATAAATTGATAATGAAGAAGCACAACAAATTTACCACTAAATTCAACATCTCAAATGATTAGATTGAGTTCAATATTTATTGGTTTTAGTAATTGAACTTTAACTAAGGCGATTTTTTATTCAACAAGATTTTGGAAATCATAGTTTAGTGATAAAACATCATCTTTAAAGTCGAAAGTTCAATTCTCCGTTGGCACGTTTTTTTACTAAAAAAATAGTTTTTTTGTGTATGTTTCTGGATAAATAACCTATTTATGTAAAGTTTACAAGTGGATTTACACTTTTTATTGATAAGGAGAAAGTGAAGAAATACATACTGGGTTTGTTTTCGTACCATATTGAGTTCTTCTTCTTCCTTCTTCCCTTTTTTTTTTAATCCAGTGAATGGGATTATCTTAATTAAATTTAAACAAAGACGTGTCTTGACTACCTATATATTATTTTTAAAAAAATTAACAGACTAATCTGCAGGAAAATTATGAACATCTAGAACCACGTTAATTAGTGTAAAACCATGAAATATAATGAATAACCCCTTCAAAAAAAGAGCAAACACACGTCTGAGATTTCTCCACACGTTTCCTAAAAAACACACACAAATTAACACTGGAGAAAAATCTATGTAAGAAAACACCACATTTGCCATATTTGGTGGCCATAAAAAATCAAATTTATATATGATCTCATGCTTCGCTAACAATTTAGGAACCAGTCTTCCAAATTGACTCTCCCAATTCCAAACACACACCCTTATAATATAAAGTA